GATCCAGCCCAACCATTACGCCAACCTTATCCAGCATTTCATCCACTTTCTACATACATTTACTTTGTTCCCATGATCCTCCTCCTACAGATACCCCTCCCCCAACAAACATCCCATTCTGTCACATGGAGTCTCCCCCATCCCTTACGTTTTCCCCACATACTGTACATGTACATTTGTATGTGTCTGAACACTGTCTATACATACATACATACATACATGTATATTACAGGAGTGCTCAGTGCATATGTACATTATGTACTACAGAGCAAGTACACAATGCAACTCAAAACGCAAACATTCAACTTTTATAATTTTTACATTAAATTCATCAATTTCTAAGCATTAATGCCATATGAGACTATTTAAATACTGATAGAATTCCAAGAAGCAAACAAGCACTCAATGGCACCTTTTTAACACCTATGGACCTGCACAGAAAAACTTTAACATTTGAGGGCGGACGGCCGGGTAAGGACGGACAGAAGACGGAAATCGGCATTACATTGGCTTGCACTTGCATCGCAGCTTGCCAAAAAAAATCATCTCAATGGCTGTGGATGTTGAGCATATTATGATGAGTTAATTATTCATCACGGTTATTGAAAAATGCACTAAGGCTTCTTTTTTGGAGAAGCGGATATTCTGAATACTGTATCGTTTTGGTCCATTTGAAAAACAGCCCATGCAATTATTTTTTAAAGTGTTGTCCTCTGGTGGGGTGATTACCACTCATTTTTGCTTTACTTTTTGTCAATATAAGGCCAAGCAAATGTCCATGAAAAAACTTACATGTACCCAACATCACATCACAGTCCCACATTTGCCTGTCTGCAAAATAAATCTGCTGTCACTGCCATATTGGATGCCATGACTTTGAACACTGATCATGACAAACTTTTAGGGGTATGTTTTGCATTATTTAGGCTTGTGAAAAACTTAGAATTCATAAGAATCATTGAGCTGACTACTGCTGAATAAAATCACAAATAAAAAGTGACTATGTTCATGTACCCAGGTTTATAAGCACACAGGACCAAAGCATACAAATGAATACGAGATAGGCAATGATGATGGAAATGTATTTGTCTCCACTGTGAAGACATAGGCAGGACGAGAAGTTCTTGAATGAAACATGTCCGAGTCAGAATTGGGAGGTACATGTATACATCAAGTTAGAAAAGGTGATTCACTTTGGAGTTTGTAGCATAGCATCAAGATACACTACTTGGCTAGCTAGCTTTCTTGAACCGTTCTTTATTCCTATTTAAAAGGACTGCAAATCCACACAAAACAGGCAATACTTTTGCCTAAGTGAGTTACCTTGGGAACCGTCAGGCTTTAACAAATTCTCAGCTGTGCAGCGAACCACTTAACCCTGCATGCTCTAATACCAACAGGTTCTTCATAGATCAGATTTAGTTTTAATCTTTATACATGTATTTAGAGAATTTGCACAAAAGCAGTCTACTCATGTGAATCCCTATGGAACAAAAGGACTTACCAGAAAGATAGCTGCCATGCACAACTTCTATTAAAGGCTCTCCAGTGGCTATATAATATAGCATGAAATTTAACCACTTGGGCATTTCTGGTATGCAAAATACCAATGCAAGTTTTCAGCTGCTTCAGTAACTGTCTAAAAATTGTTTGTTTCCCTAGAGTGTTTTTTAGCTCTTCAGTCACTGGCTAAAAGAGTTTTTTTGTAAAATTTTTATTAGCTGTTGCAGCTTATTCATTTAATACATTGAACAAATCAAAGGATCATTTAAAGCAAGGAACACATTTTACTTTGCTTCCTATAAAGTTCTCCCTGAAAATGTCAGAATTGGAGTTGTTTTCTCCTTCCAAATAAATTTTCTAAACCCCATATTCAAGGAATTCACTGAATTTTAAAGTTTTATAGTGAAGTATATGTACATGTACATATCATTAAAAACTGCTTGGGTTTATTATATGAGCTTGATTCAATGTTATAGTCTTGTATTTGAGTCCACCACATCTGAGTCTGAGTCCTTGCATTCGAGTCCACGTCCATTCTATCCGAGTCCTAATCAAGTCCGAGTCCTTCAAACTAAATCTGAGCTTTGCAAGTGTACAATAAACATATTAAACATGTATCAAAAACCAAGAAAAGACACCACAATAACATGTCACAAATAAATAAAAATTCCAATTTTTAAAATTGCAAGTTTTATTAATCACAATGTAAAGATGTTTTTGTAAAATTTAGTAAATCTTTTTCTATAAGTGTTTGAGATGTGGAAATTTTGATTGCTTTTCTTTTGTCAGGACGAAGAGGATCTTTCCTCTTTTTTGCATTCAACATTGCCAAAAAATATTCAATTAAAAAATGAGAGCCAGCCTTCTTATAACAAAAAATAAATCCTCCTCAAATGTTCTGTTGTAAAAATGGGGCCAAAATGCATTCATTTTCCTTTGACTTTGTTAAAAGTGAAGCTGCCATTACTCTGTGTTTTGTGTGGTCTTCAGTTGCAAAATACATGTATAATTACATGTATTTTACAGCTCCAGGCGTACACGTAATGTGGTGATGTATGGTTCCAGTGTTTTAAAATGTGATTTCCATAAAGGATGCAGAAAGCATAATTAACTTGTTCCTACACTACGAGTAGCTTGCACCAGGACTTTAGTTTCAGTGATTTAGTGTCAAAGTTTCATGACAGAAAAGAGTGTGAAATTTTACCACCAGATTTTGCTATGTGATACATGTATGCATACAACTTGGCATGGCAAACACTTTAACCAGTGGTCCGGCTTTACATACCCACACTAACACAGCGGACAGTGGTCTGGAAACCAGTTTCAGGGCTTCATTAGACTCGTAAATAAGTCTATTTTCCCCTTATATTACGTTTGCACAACCCTGTCACAATGTACATATATGTTACGGTAAATTAATAATAAAATAATAATAATTATAATAACATCCTTCAAAAGCCTTTCACATTGTCCAACACTCTCGAGATTCTTACAACTGAATAAAATTGAAATTGAAAACAGAAAAGGAAGATGATTATAATTACATACATAATTAAAATTGTTTAAAAGGTTACAATTAAAATTATCCTTTGACACTTTTTAACTTGCGATTGCATTACTGTCAAGCGGTGATAAATAATTATGAATTTCATTTTAATTTTTTTACACGGACTGCAAAACAATACTGGATGCTGAATGCTGCCATGCCACCAGTTGGCATGCT